TATTATTATTATTATTATTATTATTACAACGACAGATTATTCCTGTTACAAGTGGAGCAGCTAAACAAACCACACAGATTGTAGTCCAAGAAGTAACATTTCCAAGCTCCTAGTAACATATATCTGTATTTCCAGAATACAGTCGCCATACCATTCTCACCACATCCAGTCTCATTTGATTTCAGAAGCTAGGCAGTGTTGAGCCTGGTTCATACTTGGATGGGAGGCCACCAGGTTATGCCAGGGATCTCCAAACAAGGCAAAGAAAGAATCAAGCCTTCCATTCTGGATATTCTCTGTCTGTCCGAGTTAACAGTAATAGTCTTGGTGGACCAGTCGTCTGAATCATTATAAGGCAGCGCTCCTGTTCCTGTCTATGTACCTTCTATCTGTGGTTTGGTTACCATGATATATGAATGCGACTTTCTGCTTTATCTGTCTAGTGCACAACTCCTGTGTTGAAACATTGGCTGTCGGTCTTTCTGGGCACAATTCAAAGTGCTGCTTATGACCTTGTTGTTGTTGTTGTGTGCCTTCAAGTCATTTCTGACTTATGGTGACCCTAAGACAAACCTATCACAGGAGTTTCTTGGCAAGATTTGTTCAGAGAGGGTTTGTCATTGCCGTCCCCTGAGGCTGGGAGTGCGTGATTTGCACAAGGTCACCCAGTGGTTTTCCTGGCCAAACTGGGAATCGAACCCTGGACTCCAGAGTCGTAGTCCTGTGCTCAAACCACTAAGCCATGCTGGCTCTCTTGCTTATGACCTATAAACTCTAAATACCTCAGGCCCACGTTATCTAAAGGACTGTATCTCTCTGTAGGAATCTGCCCCTGTTTTGAAAACTCTGAGGCCTTCTTGGTGGCTGCTCCCAGGTTCTGGAATTCCCTTCCTAGAGAAGTTAGACTTGCAAATTCTTTGCTATCCTTTTGTAGACAAGTGAAGACCTTTTCATTTCGGTAGATCTTTGAGGGCGGACTGCCCAGACAGAAAGGGCCTTTCATGTACAGCCCTTGTGTAACCGTTTTTAATTTTATTGCTAGTGTAATTATATCTTTAAAGTTTTGTACAGTGATTTAAAAAAAGTTTTACCTGTTTTAACTTTTGTAGACAATCTTGAGACCCCTAGGAAAAAGGCACAATGATGATGATGATACAGAATCATAAGCCAATAACCAAGTTGTGGGTCTTGACTCAAGCTTATCAGGAGGAAGATAAGCCCCAGCTCCTAGTTCAGACAAGACAATAAGAAAACATAGACTGATGGTCTGTGGCTTGTTTAGCCACTACTGCTTTTAGGAGGAGCCCAGTGGGAGTGATTCATCAATGTACATTTGCACACTGGCTTTTTTACAGTACTGATTATGACATCTAAACACTCTTAGCCTCTTCATCATAATTCTTAAAATATCAGTAGTGGAAGGAAGTACATGCCATTGATTGTCATGTCTTGAAATATTTACAGGCTGTCTGATGAAAATAATATTCAGGTAAAGCTCTGAATTTCTTTGAAAGTAATATTTAAACCAAGTAATATTTAAAGTAATATTTAAGTCAAGTGCGCTTTGTTGCACTTTTCTCTTTTAAACTAATAGTTCAGCTCTCAACTATGTTTGGCAATGCTGGGGCACAGGGGATGAAACTTTTTAGAGATGCAGAAGATAAAACAAACATGACATACATTTTCACTTCTATTTACTAAATTTAAGTTAAATAAACATATTTAATT